CATTCGAGATTAGACATGTTCCTAATATCTGGGGTGGACTCTTATAGGGCTACTCAATGTGATATAGAAGCAATTACCATCTCCGATCATGCCCCAGTCTGCCTGAAGTTAAAGATAGGCTCCAACAACAACTTTAAATATTGGAGAGCTGATGTATCTATTCTAAATAACAGAGATATTTGGCAAAAACTTCAAACATGCCTCCTTGAATATGTTAAATGTAATGATGATGATAGTGTATCTCCATCAGTGCTGTGGGAGGGGGCCAAAAGTGTTTTGAGGGGTAATATTATAGCAGTTTCATCAAGGTTAAAAAAACAGAGGCTTGCAGAGCAACTAGAATTGGAAAACAAAATTAGGAAACAAGAGAAACAATACCAGTTAACTCAAAATAAGGACATTTTGACCTCTCTGAGGGAGAATAGGCAAAAACTTAATGATTTGTTGACATATAAGGCTGAGGGGCAGCTTCGCTTTATTAATCAACAATATGATCAATATGGTAACAGGGCGAGCAGGCTTCTAGCCTTCCAAATACGTAAAGCACAGTCAAGCAGAGTGGTTTATAAAATTAAATGTTCAAAAACTGGAAAATTGTTATCCCAACCTAAGGAGATTTCAGAGGCTTTCGCCTCTTATTATCAGGAATTGTACAGAGAAGAAGGGGACCCGAATAAAACACAAAAAATACAAACATTTTTAAATTAATTTAATCTTAGCAGATTAAATGAGGAGGAGGCCAATTTATTAACAAACCCTATCTCAGTAGAAGAAATCAAAAATAGTATCGGGAGACTCAAAAATAATAAATCTCCAGGAGTGGATGGCCTCCCTGGAGAATATTATAAACAGTTTGAGAAAGAGTTGACCCCACTTTTGTATAAGGTTTATAACTACGCATTAACAAAAGGTGATCCTCCTCAGTCGTGGTCTGAAGCGATCATTAGTGTCATCCATAAGGATGGTAAAGACCCGACTCCATGCATGTCTTATCGCCCTATCAGCCTCCTCTGTGTTGATTTGAAAATACTTACAGCCATCATCACAAACAGAATTCAAAAACTCATGAGACAATTGGTGAAACCTGATCAAACAGGTTTTATTACACAGAGACATGGAACTGATAATGTTAGAAGGGCACTAAATCTCCAAATAGTGGCACAAAAAAGGAACACCTCATCTATGTTTCTCAGCCTCGATGCTGAGAAGGCTTTTGATCGAGTGGACTGGGCCTTTCTACAACAGACTCTCAAACATATGGGCTTTAATGACACTTTTATTACTTGGATACAAACCTTTTATAGAAACCCCAGATCTCGGGTGAGGGTCAACGGCCACTGTTCAGATTTCTTCTCTCTGGGGCGTGGCACTAGACAGGGCAGGTCTTGTCACCTTCGCTATTTGCACTTAGTATTGAACCTTTAGCCGAACTAATTAGATCCAACCCTCTCATACATGGAATTAGAGATGTCACTTTTTGCTGATGATATTTTAATATTTTTGGAGAATCCCGTCAATTCTGTTCCAGCTTTGCTCCACAGTCTCCATGAGTATAGTACGGTGTCAGGTTATAAAGTAAATACAAATAAATCAGAGGCACTGATGATTGTTGGGGAATGGCCTTCACAGTTGGATCACCTTGTTGTATTTAAACAGTCCAAGCAGGGGTTTCGATATCTGGGTGTAAATCTTACCCCCAAGACGACTCAACTGTTTGCTTCTAATTATGGGAAGTTATTTAAAGAAATTAAAGAGGATTTAAATAGGGGGAATGTACTACCACTTTCCCTTCTGGGAAGAATTGAATGTATAAGAATGAATGTTCTTCCAAGACTTTTATTTCTCTTTCAGAACCTGCCTGTTTTGGTTCCACAGTCTTCATTTAAATTGATGGAAAAAATTATATCCAAATTCATTTGGCAGAATAGAAGGCCAAGAGTACGACTCAAAATTCTGATGTCGGGTAAGGAAAAAGGAGAGCTTGGATTGCCTAATTTGAAATGTTATTCCTGGGCAGCCCAATTAAAAGCTATGGTGGCCTGGATTATTCATGATCCAGAAATGCATTGGGTGTTTATGGAGGAATATTCATTACCAGGTGTTTCCCTCTCAAGTCTACCATTTCTTAGTCCACAATCACCAAAAAAAATTAAGATAACAAATTTGTGGGTCAATCATACTCAAAAACCTTTAAAGGAGCTGTGGTCTTGTCTCAAACTGTCCCAATAAATGGAAATGTTGAGTTCTTGCCATCTCTTTCAGATAGGAGCTTTGAGCGCTGGGCGGGGAGACGCTTGATCACAGTCAGTCAGTTATTTGAAGTAAATGTATTTAAGACTTTCTCCCAATTGAGAGCGAAGTACAACTTACCTCCCAGTGACCATAACAGGTACTCGCAGTTAAGAAATTATATTATGAAACATAAGGACTGGGATTATATCAGAAGAGACCCAACAAATATTGAGAAATATTTTTGTGATCTACTTGAAAACTCTGGTGT